AGCTTTTGGTATTATCTCCATTAATTATCACGCTGGCCTTTTGTGTTTTATATATTGCCCTCATCATATTCTCAAATTTCCCTCCAAATTTCATATCCTCAATCAGTTGGAACATAAATTGCCAACTTAGACTGTCAAATGCTTTCTGCGCATCCCAAAAAATTAATGCCTGTTTTCCCGGATGTGCTTTGTAATACTCTAAGACATTTAACACCGTTCTCGTATTATTTCTAATTTGTCTTGTAAGTAAAAAATCATTTTGATCTGGGTGTATTATCTCCTGTAATATTAGCTTCAATCTTTCTGCCATTGTAGTCGTGAAAATTTTATAATCAGAATTTAGCAATGAGATTGGCCTATAATTTTTGATCTGTTTGGGGTCTGTGCCTTCTTTTGGGATCAGGGATATGGTAGCTTCTATCCAGGAGTCTGGTACTTTAGCTTTCTCTGACACATCATTATACACATCCAACAGTATCTTTTCAAAGTCCTCATAAAGTGTCTTGTATACTTCCCCTGGGAGGCCATCTGGCCCCGGGGTTTTATTATTTTTTTGTTTTTGCATAGCAGTTTTTAATTCCAAGGCTGTTATTTTCCCATTCAAAATTTCTCTCTGTCCTTCTTTTAATTCTGGCAGACTCTTCGCCTTTAAATATTGTTTAATATTCTCCACATCTATCTTCTCTTTTTTATATAATGTTTCAAAATAGTTCTGGATTATTTCTTTCTTTTTATCCATTTTGTATTGTGACTCTCCATTCTTGTCGTGTAATTCCTGAATAATTCTTTTCTCTTTCTCTTTTTTTAGTTTATAAGAGAGCCATCTTCCAGGTTTATTTGCGTGTTCAAAATAATTTTGTTTTGCTATTTTCAATTATTTTGTTCTTTCCTCTTGATCTATCATATTTAATTTATGTTTAGCCAAAACCATTTCCATTTTAATCAATTCGTCTTGGGGCTCTTTTTGTAATTTAGATTCCAATTTTTTAATTTCTTCCTGGAGTATATATTGTGTTTGCCTTTTCACCTTGTTTTTTCTTGCTGTGTAAGCTATTACTAATCCTCTTAAATATGCTTTCGCAGTGTCCCAAATAATTTGTACTGATGATTGTTGTTTTGTATTTTCTTTAAAAAAAATTCCATTTCCCTTCTACTCCTTGCTATGAATTCTTTGTCTTTCAAAATATAAGAGTTCATTATCCATCTTCTCCTTACTTTTTTCTCTCCCTTCCAAATTATTTGCAAAGGATTGTGATCAGCCCATATGTTTGGCATTATTTCTATTGTCTCAATGTCTTGACCTACTTCTTCATTGGTCCATGCCATGTCTATGCGAGACCAAGATTTATGTGGGTTTGAAAAGAATGTGTATTCTTTTTTTGTTTGATTTTGCTTCCTCCACTGATCTGATAAATTAAATTCATGGGCCAAATAAAAAAAAGTCTCTGGTAATGTTTTCTTTTTCGTATCACTAATATAGTCTTTTTTACATCAACTATTGCATTGTAATCTCCTATTATACAAATATTTCCCTGTCCAAATTCTATAAGTTTCTCATGTAATTTGTAGTAAAATTATTTCTGGTTCTCATTTGGTGCATATATTACCACTAGCAACCATGATTTATGTTTGGTTTGTACTTCTATTGCTAATATTCTTCTATCTGTATCTTGATATTTCAATTTGGCATTAATTTCTTTTCTAATATAAACCACTAATCCTCTCTGCTTTTGTTCAGCTAATGCTGTGTATAATACTCCTAATCTAGGGAACTCTAAATATTTCCTATATTGTTCTTTAATATGTACTTCCTGTAGACAAACTATATCTATATGTTGTTTAGCCAATTTTGTTAGTATTTGTTTTCTTTTTGCAGGTAGATTTAATCCATTTATATTAATGGATAATAGTCTGATCTCTTTTTCCATTTTCTACCTGTGTGTCTATTTATGTGTTTGTCTTATTCTTGGACCTACTCCTTTTTCTTTCCTCTGTCCTTTTTCTTCCTTGCTTTCTGTCCCTCATTCTCTTTCCCTTACTTCCTGTTGTTGGTCTTCCTGGCTTTTAGATTCCAATTCTTCCTTGCTGCTACTCTCTTCCTCCACTCCTTCCACTTGTTCATAGAATTCCTGTGCTTTCTCTAGGTTATCTATCTTAATCCTCCTCTCCCTCCATGATATTAACATCCCTTCCTGAATTAACCATCTGAACGGTATACTTCTTTTAATTAAATAAGCACTAAGGAATCTATATTCCCTTCTCTGTTCTCTTATCTTCTTTGGTACCTGTTCTAGTGTTTGTATTTCCACTCCTTTGTAGATCATTGGATCCTCTCTTGTAATTTTATAAATTATGTCTCTCACCTTTTTCCTAGAAAATCTAATATGCACTTCTCATGGGAGTTTGTTGTGTCTGGCATAATTTGTATGAATTCTATACGCCTCATCAATTTCTATCAGAATCTGTTGTTTGTCCCTTTGTAGGGCCTCGGCAATCAAATCCACCATAACATCACCCAAGTCTTCTTCCTTCTCCTCTACCACATTTTGAAATCTTAGGTAGAATGCCGCCCTATCCATTTCTAGATGGATAATTGATTCCTCCAATTTTTTATTAGTTGCCATCATTTCTGTGTCTAATGTATCAACTTTTTTCCCTAATTTGTCCAACCCCACTTCTACTGTCTGGATTCTTACTTCATTTTTCTCCATTGTTTGTTGGATCATCTCAATTCTATTATCCAATTTATTCATATCCCCTCTCATTTCTACATGATTCTTGGATATTGTCTCCTGCATTTTTAGCATTGTTTCTTGTATAGCAAGAAGTGATGTCTGAATGGTTTGCATATTAGCCATTGCACTCTGTTTTTCTATACCAAACATTCCTTCTAGTGTTCTTTGACCAGGTGGAGATGAGGGTGTCAGTGTTAGACTTGACACCATTTTTTTCCTGTCCTCAGTGTTGCCATGGTTATCCCTTACTTCTCTAATATTTCTATTTCTGAATGTCACTCTATTTAGCCAACAACTTATTTAACTTTATTTTGATTATAAATTTCTAATTTTCCATTTCCCTTCCTCAACTCCTCAGAGACTACCACCACTACCATAGTTCCCCCAACTCTCTCTTTACTAACACTCTTCACTTTCTTTCCTCTTTCTTACTTATCACACAGTTTTCTAGCGATTCAAATTACTTCTCCAATCATATATTATCAATCATTAGTTCATTCTTATCTCTTCCTTTGCTTTCCAAGCCTCATCCATGTTCCTGTCACTTCCAATGTCATCCTTCCCTTCCGCTCACTCTCACGCTCCCCCCTTTCAATCCGATTCAGTTTCTCTCCCCTCTCTTAGTTGAAGACGCCGTCCCTGTCAAGCTCTGGATTTTCCTCCCAATTTCGTCTTTCCGGCCGTCAATCCGTTCCTTTCACTTTCGTCTCCTCTCTTTGCCTCTCCCAACTAAAAACACCATCCCTATTAGGCTCCGGGTTTTCCTTCCAACCTCGTCTCTCTCCTCGTCAATCTGTTCTTTTCGCCTTCGTCTCCTGTCGCGTCCTCTCACCGTCTCTTTCACTTTCCGAAATTTTACTGCACTCCACACTTTCTTCGCACTTTCTCTTTGTCTACTTGGCTTTCCAAGACCTCACCACGATCAGGTCTGTCTCCAACTTTCTTCTCCAAGCACTTTCACCAGGGATCTCTAATGTTCCAAAATGTATTCACTCCTCCGTTCCTCCTAAATCGCCATTTTCTTTTCCTTCCCAAGTATTCTCCTTTCACTTCTCTTGTCTCACAGGCTCCATCAACACCACCTTCACCTCAGCCTCTCAGCTTTATTTCTTCTTTAATCCTCCACCGTTTTCCTTGTATTTGCACTCAAACTTTTACCACAAGGTCTTTATTTCTTTTATGTCATCCTCCTGTTAATCCTCTGGTTGTTAAATCTGTCAACCCACAGCTCTTCCTGCCAGGTCGCCACTTGCATTGAGGATTCCCTCATCAGTTGAGCTTTCTTTCAACACCCACCCTCTTAGACACGTAGATCTTTTTTTTGACTTTTCTATTATTTCATAGAGATATTTTAGACTATTTTAACTCACTCATTAACACAGTCTGTTAAGCTCCTTTTCGCTTCCACATCCTCTGTGATTTTGTCAGGGCCTCAGATCCGCCATCTGTTGATGGCATAAAATTTCCACGCTGGATTTAGGGGGTTTCCTTCATTGTAACGGGTGAACACCTCTCACCTCGTTACTCTTCAGGGTTCACCCTTTCTCACATGTAGTCCTCCAGAATTTTCTGAGCCCCCAAAGGGTCTCCAATCGTAGAAAGATCGGAGTTAAGGGACAGAGACTGTCCTCTTGCCTCCGCACCGCCCTGACGTCACCACCGGAAATCTGCATGCCTTTCTTAATGGGCCAGCCTGCTTGAGTTATTGTTTCAGCTTTTCTGGGGTTACTCAAGTTAATGAGTGAAAAATTGTCTTCACAGCTTGAGCTCATGCCTGGCTGATTGCCTGCAGCTATTTGCTACTGGGGGAAGAGAAGAAAGACAGGAATAAAACTCTGGAGATAGTGTCTTTTATTCTTAGCAGTTTCTTTTCCCGGCTTTTGATTTATCCCTTGCGATTTTGGGCAAAAGTCAAAGGTGGCCTTTTGGGGAGGAGTTTAGGATTTTTCCTATATTCAAAGGATGAATTGTCTGATTCTAAGATCACCATGAAGAGGAACCTTATAAAACTATGTGAGAAGACATTTGAATAATGCAAGGGATAATGCAAACTCCAGACATGGAATAATGCCACGAGATAGAACTTGCTTGAAAACTTTCCAAAGAAAGGATCTACATGTTTTAATGGTAGGAAACACGCATCTTAATTAAAGTCTTGAAAGAAAACTCCCCAAGGTGCAAAAAATACTCCTTAGAGTAATGAAGCTACTATCTCTAAGTTAATACATTCACCTGTACTTGCATGTACATACGTTCAGTGAAATGGCCACTGCTTTGGGAAGAAGCTGCTTTGCTTTTTAGCAGATAAGATCTTGAATTTTTCTTGCAAACTTCTCCAAAGTTTGAACTGCTTTGACCAGAAATCTGAAGAAAGAAGGAGTTGCAACAAGGAGCTATCAAAGGGCAAAGAAGCATTAAAGAAAAGAGTCTGCTTTGACCAGAAATCTGAAGAAAGAAGGAGTTGCAACAAGGAGCTATCAAAGAGTCAGCTGTTTCTTTTTAAAGTCTTGCTGGAGGTGTTTTTCTGAAATTTAATTTCTCTACTGTTAGTTGAATCACAGAATGAAAAGAACAACTGAATGGTAAGCAAAGAGATACTAGCCCCTTTGAAAATAATGATGTATCTTATTCTCTATTTGGTTCTAGGGGCATTTTGAAATGTAATTGTGGATCAGCAAACATTTACAAAGGGGTCATATTTTTTATTCAATATGGCATCATCCCTGCCATTTCTATAACATATAGATCACACTGTGTCTGGAATCTAGCATCTTATTTATCTTTAGGTTAAATATGTGGAAATACATTATTCAAGGAAAGAAAGAATCTTCCTATGAAGTTTAGATCAGGGGTCTTCAAACTTGGCCCTTTTAGGACTTGTGGACTTCAACTCCCAGAATTCCTCAGCCAGTGTGCCTGGCTGAGGAATTCTGGGAGTTGAAGTCCACAAGTCCTAAAAGGGCCAAGTTTGAAGACCCCTGGTTTAGACTGAGCTATGGTTATTGAGCTGTGGGCAATGTTATGCATGTAGATCTTACCCAGCAGCTAGGCTGTAACAAAGAGCTTTTCCCAGGTATCAAGGTGAAATGATTAACACCTATCCTTGGTCAACAGAAAAATAGGAGGTGATTTGCCAGTCCACTCTCAGTCCTATCCAGAGTCCATTGAATCTCTTCTGTGTCATTGCTAGATGATCATGTCTCCAGTACCTGCCCCCTTTGGAAAAACATCTGCCAATCTCTGAAGTAACGCAAGAATGGAGCAGATCTATTTGCAGGAATCTATTCATTTTCTCTAGGCCTTTTCCTGTGCCTCTCACACATGTTATTATTTCGGCCTTTTGTGATATTTCATTCTCACACCATTTCATGGTTGTACCATTGCTTTATATTGTTTTGCTTTGCTATTTGTCTGTTTACAAGATTTTTATGACCCTGCAATTGTTACTACGTCCCTGAGACGTATAGACAATATCTTTATAAGTAGGAGTAAAACCATGCTTTGCCAAGATCAATAACTATAACAATCAATCAGATCAGTTGTACTTAAATGCCAAGACATAATATAATAGATTTAGCACCACTACAAGAAGGAACAACTTCTGAACCTGATCATCAACACTGCTTGTTGGAACAGCCAGGTTTTAACCACCACAGAACAAGTGCCTTACAAATCTTGGGGAAAGTGCTGACCAGAGTAGGGTGACTCCATGTTTCATATGTAGAGAAAAGTAAGGTTTTACACTTAGGAAGGAAAAATCAAATTTATAGGTACAGATTAGGTGAAACCTGGCTCAATAGCAGTAACTGTGAGAGGGATGTTGGGGTCCTAGTGGACAATCACTTAAATATGAGCCAGCAGTATGCTGCAGCTGCCAAAAAAGCCAATGCAGTCCTAGGCTGCATTAACAGAGGGATAGAATCAAGATCATGTAAAATATTAATACTACTTTATAACGCCTTAGTAAGACCACACTTGGAATACTGCATTCAGTTTTGGGCACCATATTATAAAAAAGATGTAGAGACTCTGTTTCTCTTTTCTGCACTCTTTCCAAAGATGATTAAAGGCCTGGGAGCTCTGTCAGTGGAGGCTTTTAAGAAGAGACTGGATAGCCACTGGTCTGTAATGGTATAGGGGAGGGGTAAGCAACCTTGGCTCTTTTATGACTCGTGGACTTCAACTCATAGCTGGCTCAGGAATTCTGGGAGTTGAAGTCCACGAGTCATAAAAGAGCCAAGGTTGCCTACCCCTGGTATAGGGTCTCCTGCTTGTGCAGGTGTTATGTCCTGGGCCAGCAGGCACAGGCTGCAGCGATTGGCCCGGGCAGACCATGTGGATGCCTGGGACAAGAAAGGCTGCTCCCAGCCTTGCGTGCACACGCACGGTGGGAAAAGATCTTTTGCAATGATTGGCCAGCAAGGTATTGTGCAGGGGGGCTATAAAAGGGGGCCACACCATTTTAAAACCTGTTCTGTTGGTGTTTGCGATAAAGGAGAACTGTTGGAACTCGTTGCTTTGTCTCAATTCATCTTTTCCTGAAACAGAATAGCAGGGTATTGGACTAGAAGATCTCCAAGGTCCCTTCCAACTATGTTATTCTGTTATTAATAAGCTACTGTGTCTAATCCTAGGTTAGGAGACAATAACAGAACAGTGTGGACAAGCCTGATTGGAACTGGAGGGAAGGATCCTCCCTGTATCAGCCTGAAACAGTCCAGAAACTCCATTTTAATCCTACATACTGAATCTTACTATCTCTTTTCACCCCTGACATGGGGGGCAATGTGTGACATCTTGAGGTGGCCACTGATATTATCAATGTAAGAGAAAGAGAGCACAGAAAAAAATGTTGCCAGAACATATTTGGATCATAGTTAGAGGCAACTGGGGAAAGATATACTGTAAAGAATTCTATTTAGCATCAAGGTTGAGTTGCATTTCCAAGGATTATCTTGAAAAATAGGATAGGTATGAAGAACTAACTTCTTCAAAGAGCCTTTGAAACTTTATTTGTTTCAAATTGCTTTTACCTGAACTATTAGACTGAACTTTTGAGATAGTTTTACTAGCTAGTTCAATTATTGGATTCATTTATTAGAAAGAGTGTAAGGTTTCTAATTGCCTTTTCTCCTCTTTGCAGCAACGTCCAGGTGGATGTGTCAAAATATACATGATTGTGGGTGTATGGTTGCAATAGAAGCTCCACCCATTTTGTCCAAGCATACCAAAGGGATAGGACTGCAGTTGTGACACTGATCTGCCATCTGTCCCTATGGATACCCATGTTCCTTTGCTAAACAACTTCAAAAAGTATGCCAAGTTTTAATAAGCCATTTTTTAAAAAAAATACTGAGATTTTTTTTCTTTCCAGAATCACCCCACTGGTTTCAATATCTCCAGATAAACAGAACTAATGTTAATATACAGGGTTGTTGTGGGGAAAATAGGAGGAGAGAGGTGGATATGTTTGCTGCCTTGAATTATTTTTGAAAATAATAAAAGTGGAATATAAACAAACAAATATTACTTTAACTCTTTGAAATCTGATGCTTGTAAATCTCTTTTCTAGTTAGGTTTTGCTTTTGAAAACCTTTTCTTCTGTTTATTTTTTGGTTGCATATTTAAATGCTATAAAGTAGGCAATTAAAATAGATAGCTCAAGTAGATACAAAAGACAACTTTGATTCCTACAAACACTTTTTTTTAATTCAAGAAGTGACGGAGGGATGGGACAAGACAATATAACACTGTGGACAGAATTTGTGCTAGCTGGACTTCTCCATCAAAAATCACCCACCATTTTTGTTGGGGTGATTAATTCCATGTTTGTGATTGCCCTGGTAGCAAATAGTCTTCTTCTTTTTCTTATTAAAGTTGATCCACGGCTTCATATCCCAATGTACTTTTTCCTGAGTCAACTGTCTATCATGGACCTCTGCCAAGTTCTTGCAATTGTTCCCATGATGACCGTGAATTTTGCAATCAATAGGTACACCATTTCACTCTATGGGTGTGCTCTCCAAATTTTTGTCACCCTGGCAGTGGGAGGAGCTGAATGCCTCATCCTGGCTACCATGGCCTACGACAGATATGTGGCTATCTGTAGGCCTCTGCAATATCCAGTCCTCCTGAGGAGTAAAATATGCTGTCTTATGTCACTGTGTGCCTGGTTTTGGTCTTGTGTGCAAGCGTTGATTTGTTCTCTCTATGTCCTGCCTCTTCCTTACTGCAAGACTAATGTGATTATCCACAATTTATGCGAGTATCCAGCCCTCATACAATTGTCTTGTTCTGATAATTCTGCCTTTGAAAAGGCAGTATATCTTGGATGTTTTCTGCTTTTTCTCATCCCTATTTCAGTCATCCTTGCTTCATATCTTGCCATCCTTTTGCAAGTTCTCCGGATGAAGTCCACAGAAAGGAGCCACAAAGCCTTGCGCACCTGCTTGTCCCACTTGTGTGTGGTGGGGTTCTTCTATGGAGCGGCCATTTTGACCTACATGACACCCATATCCTCCTATTCAGCAGAAAAAGCCGTTATTAACTCTGTGTTTACAACTATTTTCCCTCCCATGATTAACCCTTTCATATATAGCCTGAGGAACCAGGATGTTTCAGCTGCATTCCGAAAGCTCATTGCAAAATAAATCCTGGGTAAACCATATTTTATTTATCTATGGGATTTATATCCCACTGTGATCTTGTATTCTTGTGTGTATAGGCTGTGAGAGGAAAAATTAAAAGGTCCACTTTATGATTAAATCATTAACAAGATTAATACAAGATGAATATTATTGTTGTGATGTCTGTGATTGTTAATTTATTTTTAACAACCACCTATGCCATAGGAATAAACAAAAAAAAGAGATGGTAGAGGAGTTGAAAATCACTGTAATCCTTTTTGGAATAGCTGAGTTAATAGTTTTGATAGTTAAATAAACTTGCTCAGTGACTGAACAGTGCAATGTGTTGAAACCCAAGATGTGTGTCTTCTCTGTCATAGCATCTATAGCAGGAGTCTTCAAACTTGGCCCTCTTATGACTTGTGGATTTCAAATCCCAGAATTCCTCAGCCAGCTTGCCTGGCTGAGGAATTCTGGGAGTTGAAATCCACAAGTCATAAAAGAGCCACGTTTGAAGACCCCTGATCTACAGTCTGAAATAGTACCTCCCTGAAAGATCAGTGTGATTCTGAACCTGATGGAGTTCCAGAAGTGTTAAAAAACCAGACTATTATCCCAGGCTTTAGGATAAGATGGCAGCTGAACTTCTGTTCAGTGTGTTTGATATGGAACTTGCTTGGACGTACATATAGGTAGTCCTCATTTAGTGATCACAATTGGGATTGGCAACTCCATCACTAAGTGGAGGGATCCTTTTCTTTTCCCCAGACACCAGCCCTTTGGAATGCTCAACCCAAAGTTGAGATCCAAAGTATTGGGTTCCAACTCTACAAAACACCAGAATGATAAGGCCAATGTGAATAATGAACTCAAAAAATTAACAGACATTCAACCCTTAAGTATGAAATATACATTTATAATTTAATTGAAATGTGAATCATATATATTCCTTCCTTCCTTCCTTCCTTCCTTCCTTCCTTCCTTCCTTCCTTCCTTCCTTCCTTCCTTCCTTCCTTCCTTCCTTCCTTCCTTCCCTCCTTCCAACAAGTATATATAAATGTAATGAATGTACTATGGGGAAATGGAATCAGCATCAGAGCCTACCACCCTAATGTTTTACACGCAGGTTGCTTATTGAAAATAGAACAGTTGCCGGAATTCCTGCACAGCTACTTCCTTAATAACTCTGACTAATCAATATCTAGATAAATAGTTCTTGTATTTAACTGTTCCAATCCAGGCACTTGCCTGAGAAGCTTGATATGATCCTATTGCCAATGTCCACATGATCAAAGGCCCAATAATTAATTGTTTAGGAATGGAAAAATATTGTCTTATCTGATTATGACTTTGGAGAAAGAATTTTTAAAGCTGTTATTATGTATGCGCATTTGAGCATAGCAGAATTCTAAATTGGACTCCAGGGACTCATTTTTTCAGATGTAATATTCACCTCACTCCCAAAATACATGCAGGGAGGTAGATTGTACTGAGAGATAATAAACCAAATTGACATTTTAAAAAACGTAAATTGCAAGGAGTGGTACAGATTATTTAAGCATTGTGTTATTTATCCAATTTTATGCAAATTGTGGGTACAAAATTAGGAAGTCCAAACAAATAATCACTTCCCCACCCAGAATTATTTTATAGAGGATATGGATGGCATAAAAATTAATAAATAAAAATAATTAATTAACTTATCTTTCAGAATTACCTTTGTATCAGTGCATATTTAACAAAGACTAGCTCATAATTCCTTCTTCTTACAATAACAGGAATAAATACTTGTTTAAGGCAACATACGTTTTTCAGAAATAAGATTAATAATAATAAGATTCCATTCTGTCACTGTTCTAAGATTTACAGTGTATTTCCATTACATTCTACATGAGCTTAGACACAATCCAGTCAGATAAAGAAGGAATGAAAGAGAGGTTGCTTTTTGACTCTCTGCATCAAAACTGGTTATATTTTTTTATCAGATTTTCTTCATGTTTTCATCATTCTGTTTGGAAACAGCCTCCTTTCCTTTTTAATCAAAATAGGTCCAGGTTCTTTAAAAGTCTTTTTTCTTCTGTCAATTGTATATCATGGACTTCAGCCAGGACCTTGCAATTAATTGTTCCTAGGATTTTTTTTTTTCATGTGTTGTGAAAAGTAGGTCTGAAGGCATGGGGGCCGCTAATTCAGTTGAGGAACACCTGTTGTCTGGTAAGATGGCTAATGATGGACACATTGTGTGACAACTGTACAAAATGCGAAGTCTTTTTCAAAGGCAATCCCAGTCAAAATGAGTTGCAATGGTCTGAGATAGGAATCGGCAACCTTAAACATTTGGACCCGTTTCCCACAAAAAAAGAAAACACTGGGAGCCACAAAACCCTTTTGACATCTAAAATGAAGATAACACTGCATACATCATTTTTTTTACCTTTATGCTATGTATAAAAAAACTATAGTGTGTTGCATTTATGAAATCAATGAACTGCTACAAAGAAAACAAATTTTTATTTCTGCATGCAACAAAAACATTTTGAACTCCAAAAAAAAGACACTAGGTTGAAGGTTACTTTCAAATAAAATACTCAGTGTCTATTTAAGTCCTCCTTGCATTTATGAAATAAAAAGCTGAATTTAAATTATCCACCTGCAGCAAACCCAAAATGCTGTCTGCTTCTGTGTGCCGTCATCATTTTATTGCATTTACTGGAGCGTACAGTCAGCTGTCAACTTGAATTAAAAAAGGACTATTTCACTGAACAATGTCAAATATATATTTGCAAAATAATAGCCAATTAAAATATTTATTTTACTTGGTTAATGTGATTTTTATTTCTCAACATCAGCACACAGCATCTGCACATCAGGCCTGTAAGACGTCACCTTCATCTTCAAACCGGATTGTAAGCTGTTGTCTGTGAGGCGTGAGCATATAATTTGTTTTTAATATAATTCATGTTGAAGAAGAAGATCTGGACAGACTTGAACACTGGGCACTGTCTTAGAAAATGAAATTCAGTGGTGAAAAAAGTAAGGTTCTACATTTAGGCAAGAAAAACCAAATGTACAGGTATAGTAGAGGGGGTATCTTGCTCAATAGTAGTAACTGTGAGAGGGATCTCAGACTCCTAGTGGACAATCATTCAAATATGAGCCAGCAGTGTGCTGCAGCTGCCAAAAAAAGCCAATACAGTGCTAGGCTGCATTAACAGAGCGATAGAATCAAGGTCACATGAAGTATTGATATCACTTTACAATGCCTTGGTAAGGCCAAACTTGAAATACTGCATCCAGTTTTGGTTACCACGATGTAAAAAAGAGGTTGAGACTCTAGAAAGAGTACAGAGAAGAACAAGAAAGATGATTAGGGAACTGGGGGCTAAAACATATAAGGAACGGTTGCTGGAATTGGGTATGTCTAGTTTAATGAAGAGAAGCACGAGGGGGGACATGATAGCAGTGTTCGAATATCTCAAGGGCTGCCACAAAGAAGAGGGAGTCAAGCTATTCTCCAAAGCTCCTGAAGGCAGGACAAGAAGCAACGGATTTTAAACTAATCAAGGAGAGAAACAACCTAGAACTAAGGAGAAACTTCCTGACAGTTAGAACAATTAACCAGTGGAACAACCTGCCTCCAGAAACAGTGAATGCTCCAACACTGGAAGTTTTTAAGAAGAGATTGGACAGCTATTTGTCCGAAATGGTATAGGGTTTCCTGCCTGAGCAGGGGATTGGACTAGATGACCTCCAAGATCCCTTCCAACTTTATTATTATTATTATTATTATTATTATTATTATTATTATTATTATTATTATTATTATTATTATTATTATGGATCATCGCAGAGTCAGCCAGATGTTCAGACTGGATTTGGCATTTTGTCTACCTATCGAGTCCTTACCCAGGACCTGGGATAGGCAGATGTGGATGTTTGATGGTATTACAGGTATCGTCGCAGGATGGAAGCAGTTCCTAGTAAGGCCGCCTTTTGCAATTGACTAATAGCGAATTTGTCAATGCCAATGGTGTTCAAGTGGTGCTCCAGTTGTTTTGGGATTGCACGCAAGGAGCCTATTACTATTGGTACCACCCTTGCTTGCTTTTGCCACAGTCTTTCTATTTCTATTTGTAGGTCTTTGTATTTTGTTATCTTCTCCAGTTCTTTCTCGTCTATTCTGCTGTCTCCAGGCACTGCCATGTCCACTATCCAGACTTTTTTGTCTTTCTTATCGATAATTGTTAAGTCTGGGGTATTATGTTGCAGGTGCTTGTCTGTTTGAATTCTGAAGTCCCAGAGCAGTTTAATTTTATCATTTTCTATGACTTTCTCTATTTTATGATCCCACCAGTTTTTGCTTACAGGCAAATGATATTTTTGCAGATCTTCCAATGCACCATTGTTGCTACTTTGTCATGCCACTGCTTGTAGTCAGTCTGTGCAATCTTCTTGCAACAGCTTACCAGGTGGTCCACTGTTTCTTCAGCTTCTTTGCATAGGCGGCACTTACTGTCTGTTGCTGTCTTCTCAATTTTGACTTTATATGCATTTGTCCTTAAGGCTTGGTCTTGTGCAGCCAAAATTAGTCCCTTGGTCTCTTTTTTCAATTTTTCTGCTCTTAGCCATTGCCAGGTCTTGTTATTATCTGCTTTCCCAGCTATTTTTTTAATGTATTGGCCATGTAGTGCTTTGTATTCCCATGCCTCTATTCTGTTCTTCATTTGGTCTTTCTTGTAGGACAGTTTGGTCTCTCCAGTAGTTAGTAAGCCTTCCTGATATACTAATTTCAGTGCATCTTCATCACTGTTCTTCAAATATTCTTCCAAAGCCATTTTTTCTTCTTCAACCATCTGATGTACTTGTAGCATTCTACGCCCACCTATTTGCCTTGGTAGATAAAGTGTCAGCTTCCCTACCGGACTCCACACGAATAAAGCAAAGACGAAAGCTTCTGGGTGAAAACAGCTCCGGTTTACTTTGAGGAAAAGCGATGACTTTAACACAGACAAGCATTAAACCAGCTCTGTGCTATACAAAGTTTGCACTGGGAGCAACTGCCTCCCAACGTTACTTAAATATACTGATGTTATTACTCCACCCTCTGCAATTATGGAGCACACCTCCACCACACCCGTGCTCATTAACCCACACCTTCACCACACCCGTATTCAATCACAACCCCCTTCCACACCCAACATCCCCACCCTCCTGGCTTCCAATCAGCGTTTGGCAACTATCATTGAGCACAGCTTTTGAATTTAATACTTCTTTGCACGCCTTGTGCTAACAAGGCAATGCTCGGGTCACTGCCCATCAGCTGGTTATTATTTCACCGCTGATCAGCTGTCTGGTGGTTTGAGGTAGCTCTGCGCAGGCGTGACAGTCTCTCTGCGCATGGAATCTCCTGCTTCCTAGACCCGCCGAGCAGCTTCCGTATATTCGTCGGAGACTCCATGGCTCATAGGCTCGATATGAAACGCCGCGTCGCCGCACAGCCTTTGCTTCTCCCTCCATTAGGTCGGTTCCCTCTCTTGTGTGTCAAGCCCAGGAGGGCTTGACAGGTGGCCCCCCTACCAGGTGTCCTCTTTCAACAGGTAAAATATAGAATTAGGTTGGTAGGGGGGTTATGGGTACATGTCCCTTTCCCCCTGCTTTTGAGGATATTTACGATGGTATTTGCGTATCAATCGAGGGTCTTCCCTATCTGTTTCCCTCACCCATGATGCTTCTGATAGTGGATATCCCTTCCATAGTACGAGGTATTGGAATCAAACTCGCCTATACCTTGAATCAAGTAATTTCTCAATTTCGTAATGACCTCCCCCAACTTTGCCTGGGGGTTGAGGTATCTGCCTAAATGATGGTTTCATTACCAGTTTTAGTAGCCCACTGTGGAAAACTGGGTACACTCTACCAAGGGTGTGAGGTAGTTTCAATTTTACTGTCACGGGGTTAATCACCCGTTCTATTTTGAAAGACCTGATATATTTTGGCCCTAGATTTTTGCATGGTCTGCGTAATTTTAAATATTTGGTGGATAGGTACACTTCTTCACCAACTTGAAAGGGTTTCTGTGGACTTCTCCTTTTGTCAGCTTGTCTTTTTGCTGCTAGTTCCGCTTTTTGTAGGGCCTTCTTAACTACTATCCACACATTGTTGATTTGATTTATCCAATCGCTCGGTTGTCGCGATCCCGTATCCCCTTGAGGTAATTCGGGGATAGGGACAAAATCTATCCCGTTTACCAGTCGAAATGGAGTAAATCCTGTACTACTGTGGAGGGTGTTATTATAAGCCACCTCCGCAAACGGTAGAAGTTCAGCCCAATTTGTCTGCTGATAGTTGACATAACATCTGAGGTATCGTTCAATCTTTGCATTGGCACGTTCAGCCCCTCTGTTCATGCTGGGATGGAATGCAGAACTTAGTCCTTGAGACGATCCAATAGATTTGATGAAGTTTCTCCAGAAATGGGAAGTGAATTGTACTCTTCGATTTGAAATGATGCGTCGAGGTACCCCATGTAATTGATAGATGTGGGTCACAAAGAGTTTTGCTAAATGTCTTGCGGACGGTAATTTTTTACAGGGAATAAAATGTGCCTGCTTTGAAAACAGGTCTATTACCGTCTATATCACCATATTCCCATGGCTGGTTGTTAGATCAACTATAAAGTCCATAGTGATCTCTTCCCAAGGATGGTTCGGGTCAGATACTTGTTGTAACAGGCCTGACGGTTTCCCCACTCGTGGTTTTGTCATTGCACACATGGAACATTCTCGAACATACTTTTCTATATCCTTTTTCATCCTTGGCCACCAAAACTGTCGTTTGAGTAAATGTAGGGTTTTTAGAAACCCAAAATGCCCAGCCGCCTTTACATCATGACCCTGGCTAAGCACTTCTAACCATAGGGATTGTGGAACATATAATTTCCCCCCTTTCCAAGCTAACCCATCTTTCATAGTGAGAGTTTGGGGATGACTTATCAACCATGGATCAACCATAAGGCCACCTTGTAGAGTTTGTACCAAGTCTTCCATAGACCGTACCACCGAAATTTTATCTCCGGATTGCCCAGTTGGAGGTATGAGGGCCTGAACCACTTCCTCCCACTTACTATGGTACTGGTGTTTTCTAGATAGTGCATCCACAAGGAAATTTTTCCCTCCCGGAACATACTTTAGTTGGAATTTGAATCGTTGAAAATATAATGCCCACCTTACATGTTTTGGAGCTAGTCGTCTGGGCGCTTGTAGTGCTTCTAGTTTTTTGTGGTCAGTCCATACTTCGAAAACTTCTTTTGCTCGTTCTAGAAAATGGCGCCATGTGGCTAATGCCCACCTAACAGCATATGC